GCGGGCCAGGCGAGGCTCTCCCGTGGCCTTGGGCCACGCTCCCACTTTCGTTCATGTCCGTTCCTCAGGGGAAGCTGTGATGCCGGTTTTGTTCAGACTTCTAATATGCCTCAGCAGACAGCGTTGGTGTTGTTTTGGGGCAAAGTCAAGACATCCCAGATTTCGTAAACGGGGGAGAATTCTTCTCAGTCTGAATGATACGTGCAGTGTGCCCTGTGCTTTTGTCCTTTGCAAGTTTAAGAATAGGTTTGTTCCTGAATTGTTGACTCAAGTGAGTTTAATTAAAGCCGAGCTTCTTTCTTTAGGGAAAGCTGTGCGGGGTCAACAGGGGTCTTTTCTCTATTTCTGGCGGAGTTTTCAGGCAGACCTTTGATTTAGAGGGAGATTTTAGGTTGCGTGGCACCCGTCCTGATGTAGATTGCTTCTCAGATCCCGGGAAGGGAGCCCGTGGGTGGGCTGTGTGGTCTGCGGGCTCGGCCTTGTGGGCGAGCTGTGTTCCCGGCAGTCGGCTTGGGAGGGACTGGCGCTTTGTCCCGTGATCAAGGTGCAGGGCTTTGTGGTTAGCGGACAGTGAGGCTGAGGGCGGGGATGCAGGCTGCTGCGGGGGGGGGGAGGGGGGTGTGCAGTGCGGCTCTGACTGCCTCTGGGAAATCGGGAGAAGAACCATCCCCTCCCCCGCAGGGACGGCTCGGCCCCCCTTGGTGGCCGTGCAGGGGTCAGAATGACCAGAGGCTGTGGCCCTGGGCACAGAAAGACACAGCAAGCCCCGTGTCCCCGCCTGATGCCCGCGGTCCGCCTCTGTCATCCCGGGAGGTGGGCGCGGTGCAGGGGAGGACCACGGAGGGGGCCGGAGGGGGTTGGGGGCACCTGTCGGGCTGGAAGCAGCTCTCAGATGCTGCGAAAGCCATAAGATGGTGGTGGGTTTCTGGCTGCCGGGCCTCCCCTCTCGGTCTTGCACCGGCCACCTGGCGCGCACCAGCTCTAAGGGGCCCTCCGGCTGAGGCGTCCCCGCGGTGACAGGAGGGCCACCAGCGCGCCCGGAGCTCGGCAGAAACGGCAGTGTCTCGGCCCCTCGCCCCGGGGAAGCTGCAGAGCTCCTGGGAGAGGCAAGGTCTGCCCCGCGGGGCAGGTCTGCTCCCCAGAGTCAGGGCGTCTGGCGCCGGCTCTTCTGGAATGCGGCCTTCCTGAGGCTTCCTCGCTATCTCCAGAAAGGTGAGAAGCAGGACGGGACGTCAGCCTGCACCGCTCTGGTCTGTCTCCGCTGCTTCCAGGCACCCAATGTACAAAGACCTCGATGGGTCTGACATGCACAGAAGGCTCTTTTGCATAAACGTCAGGCGAACGTCACAACCGAGCTATAAACCCAAACGATGAGCCCCGATGTTTCTTCTTGGGATCCAATGGTCTCTGCGCAGAATGTGAGCAAGCAGGTTCAAGGGCGTGGGGTCTGGAACATTCTCTTTGGAAGGAAAAGACAAGTTGCAGCAGGTTTTCCAGCAAGTGAGGGTCATGGGCCCCCAGTTCAGCTGTGGTGGGAAGCAGACCCCCATCCCCCCGGGGAAAGGCTGGGCCCCGGGAGTGTGCAGGGAGTCTCTGGAGGCTGGGAGACGGGGATTCCTGTCTGTCCTGCGCAGACCGAGCCCTCAAAGGCCGAGTGCACAGGAAGGCATCCCAACTGATGCAGGGCTGGCGAGACCTGGGTCACCGCGAGCACTTGCGGGGATGTCCCGGGGACACGCTGCACCCCAGTCTTCAGAGAAATACTCCCAATCCTTCATCTGACACTTACTTTATGGTCGAGAAGCTGAGGTCTGAGCAGAAACACAGGGACCCCAAGGCCAGAGCTGGTGAGAGGCGGAGGGGAGCCCGCAGCTCCCGGGGCCCCTGGGTGTCCTTCCAGCATGGCTCAGGCGTCACGTGGCCGAGAGGCAGGCGTGACAGACCTAGGGGTGCCTAGGGCTGGGGCAGCACTTGCGCCTCTCGTATTTCTCTCCAATGGCACGGGACCCCCACGGAGTGGGAAGATGGCTACTTCCGCTGCTGTTGGTGCTTTGCTGGCAGAAGAGGGCCACAGCCCGCGTTTCTGAGTCTTACTGGGCACTTGTCCACAGCACGAGGTGTCATTGGCTCCTTGAACGATGGTGTGCGTGGTAGCTGCCTGGGCCTTCTCCAGCCAGGGAGGCCTGTGTAAAGTGGCCTGCGGCCTCCAAGGGACTAGGAGCTGGGGGGCAAGCAAGGGTGGACGCTGTCCCGTTGCTGATCCTCGCTCGCTCCCAGGGCTCAGGTGGAGGCCACACGCGGAGGGGTGGCTGTGACATCAGGTGTCCTGCGTGAGGCTTGGCACACCCATAGCGCCCGTGCTTCATGCATCCCCCCGAGATGGGGACCCCGCGCAGGGAGAGGTGGCCAGCTGGGCAGAGCAGGACACGCCAGGAAAAAGGGTTTGATATTTCCCTAGGGGACTGCCCTCCACCACTTTGCTCCCTGTCTCTCCCTTGCAATTCTCGCCTCTCCAACTTGCGTTTGGGTTCCTGAATAGGATGCCACCCATCTGCATGGGCTCCTCTCTCCCCACATGTGGTGGTCACATTCCGTCCCTGCAGGTCGAGCTCCGGTAGTTCTAGGACATGTGTTGGATCCCCTGGAATCAAAGAATTCCTGGTGGGGGTTGGCTCATGAAAGCCACTGACAACAGTGGAACCCAGGTGTCCTTTGCTGGTTACCCTGATGTCATGGTGGCTGGCTCTTTCCTAGCCTTCCTGGTAGATTTGCAGGGAGACTCACGAGGACACAGATGGAGGAGTGTTCTGGAAGGGCAGGGTACAGGACGTCTGCTCGGCATTGCTCATCGGTAGCTTTGGAGTTTCCGAGCCACGGGGGAGGGAAGACGGTTTCGGCTGAGTGCTGAGTCCGAGCTTCTGCTCCGGCTCTATCCAGCGGCCTTTATTCCCTCCACAAGCCTGTGTCTAGTGCCCTCTGCCACAGAAGCTCAGACAGGTGCATTCTGAAGCCATTTACCGCAGCTGGCCTGTGTCAGGTGCCATTAGATCTACTCTCTGGTACACACGACCATCTTCTTGAAACAATAACGGATCCCAAATTGCTGGAGGAAGACATTGCAAATCATCAGAAGTTCTTGCTCAGAGAGGAGAGAAGACCCTGGGTGTACAGTTTGCCTCAGTGCGAGAACAGTGTAGCAGTGCCTATCGCTGCAGAAGGGAGGTTCCGGGACCCCCAGACCCAGCCCGCCCGTCCTCTGTGCACCCCCGACACAGACGTGCCTCTTGAAAAGCATTTCGCAAGGTGGGGACCCGCCCCGTGGATCACTGAGGCCTCAGTGGGCGGAACTAGGCCCTCGGAGGGTCTGCACTGTCTAATGACTTTGGGGAGCCCACCGGCTTGGTCCGTGTGGCAACTTTGCCCTTGGTTTCCACTCGGGGTCCGCCTTCGACTTCCGGTCGCTTAGCAGACAGGTGAGTACCGCACACGCAAACACACGGCTATCCGGTACTGTGCGTGTTTCAGTACCCCCGCGTATGTTCTTGCAAGCCAATCCCAATCCCATTTGGGGTGCCCAGTATTTAGGGGGAGTCCATAAATGAACAAATGATAAATACAAAGAACCCAGGACCAGAACCCTGCGGTGTGTCCTCCGAACCTTAGTGTGCCCACTGGTGGCCAGAGATGGTGTCGTGCAGACTCTTTCAGGCCTGGTTATTTTAATGCACGCACAGAAGTTGGTCTGGGGTGAAGAGGCGGAGGAGAGGGGTGTTGCTTTTTCTCCGCCACGTAGTTTTTTTTAAAAGAGAACAATCAACATTCTTGGTGTGACCCGAAGAGCACAGCCCGTCTCCCTCTATGGAGAGCTGGGCTTCTGACAGAAGCGGTCTCGGTCGGTGGAGGAGAGCCTGGGGCAGGGAGGCGTGGAGTGGTTTCAGGGGAAGGGGGCAAGCTGGCCCCATGTGAGGGCTTCACACCCAGGTGTGGGGCCCACTGTTACCCGGTCACACACACCAGGGGCCGCTGTGGCAGAGGCTTTGGCATTCCGGTGTCTTCACGGAGCATCCGGGGGCACTGGTCTCCCAGGGAGGGCGTTTGCTTTGACCGACGAGCCGCGGAGAGAGGCGTTTGCAGAGCGAGTGGCCACAGGGGCTGGACAACAGCCTGTCCCACTGATGCTCTTGGGAGGGGACGGTCCACAAGTGTGTCGGGAGAGTACGCTCACCATGCTGTCCATCCTCTTCAGGCACAGGTTCTCAACTTCTGCATGTCCCCAGGTGACACACTCAGGTGTCTGGCTCGGGCACCCACCGTCACCTGAAAGCACAGGCCCGTGGCTGCGAACCCGTGTGGTGGCCGCCACCGTGCGTAAGTAGGAGCGTGACTCCTGGTGGACTCAGGACCTCCTCTGGGGTGATGCTGCCTTTCTCGACTCCCCCTGCCGTCCGGACTCACCTGTGGGCCCTCCGTGCCCCGAGCAGCAGATCAGGACAGGTGACGGCTCATCCTCCATCCCAGCGCAGGCCCCACCGAGCCCAGGTGGGGACAGCACCCGCCATCGACGTCCCCAAGGACACACATCATGTGACAATTCAACTAGCAATCGTTCAGTGTACATCAGGCACTGGTTTTCAAGGGCAGGTCAACGTCACGGTGGCAGCCGACTCTCCGTGCCCTGGTGCCTGTGGAAGCGCTGAGGCCCCGCTGGTCCTGGGGGCCCGTCCACTGCCCTGACCCCACAGCTGGCCCTTTGCAGGTCATCTGTGCAGGATCCCGCCTGGGAATTCAAAGGCCTCTTGAACAAGAGTTTTCGGTCTTCTCACCTTGACCCTTACTTGCTTCCCTTGAGGAGCTGGCCCCCTCGCTTTGCAAACGTGACTCCCCCAGGCACTTCAGACCTGCTGCACCTGCTGCGGCCCTTGGGCAGGAGCGTGCCCGGGTGCGGCCCCCGCTGACCGAGGAGGACAGCAGAGGCCTGGCGGGGTCAGCGCACGTCTTACCTGGTACATGGTGCACAGCCCGGGCTGGCTGTGGGCATGGGAGGGCACAAGGCTCCGTCTCTGCTTGAGCCAGGGCACCTGCCAGGGGACACAGAGTGGCGGTTGAGTCCATATGGTACCACTGGCAGAGCCCCCAAGTCCTCCAGCAAGCGTCCCCTCCTGACCGGACTTGGAGGAGGGTCGTGGGGGACGGAGGTCCGAGGGTGAGGGCGTGCGCGGGATGGATGGTGACCACCAAGGGGACAGAGGGAGGAGGAGACGGCAGCGGGAGCCCCCAGCACTCCGCGGGAAGGACGTCAGAAAAAGGAACAAGGAGAAAGATTTAGGGGAAAGTTCTGGAGCCCTGAGCCCAATTATGTGACCACATTTTCTTAACATTGTAGCAGGCACCAGACCCTAAGATTTTGGACCGAGGAAGGGGAGGACGCGCCTTCCAGCCCGACGCGACATGCTCGGGGGCTTTTCGAGTCTACAGTGGGATAGACAGGGTTCGCAGCTTTGCTGCACAGGTTTCTTTTGCAGCAGGTGTGATAGCTTCGGCACGGGACTTCCAGGAGAAACCACATCCGTTCCGCGGGGGTCACTGTGCTCTCTCTGCCGGCCCTCCCACCTTCCTACAGAGCTCCAGGAATTAGTTTTATGAGCAACAGAGTGGCCAAAGTCAGGCCAGGCGGCCACTCGGGGTTACATGGTCTCACACTCTTCCTGCTGTTGGTGAGATTTAGAAGCCGTGGGATTAACTTAGCATGCCTGGACGTGAGCTGTGCCTTAACCCTAACTCTAAGCTCTGTTGCTACAAATCTTCCTAAGTAGTGTCTGTTCCTAACGTGTGTCATGCCGATTCTATTCGCTGTAGGATAGTGCCTGCCTATCACCCAGTTCTGAGTGGTGTGGCTGAGCGAGCATGGCTGTGGGACCGAGGTGAATGGTCTGCAGAAAGTTCCCCTTGTTTGACTGTATGTGGCAGAATGGTGGGCTCACGGCGGGGGGAGAGAAGGTGCCTTACATTGGTCAAAAGATAAAATCGGTGTAAAGGATTTCAAGAGATGTCTCAAATTGGCTGTAGATTACATGGATTTTTAAAATAACAGGTCACTGGTGGATTATGTGAGGAATGAGCTGTGGTTATGACGCAGGAGAATGTTAGTGTGTTCTAGAAATGTTACTGCAAAGTGAACACACAGGGTTTCCCGAGGCAGATCTAGGTGAGTCTGCTCAGCTGTAAACCCCACCCTTGATTCTCCCCACGCGAGAGCGGTGATTTCTACTCTGGCGAGAAGCACTGTGACCTTAATCCAGGCACGGAGTCCTACCAGAGGAAGGCAATTGTGTTAATGCCTCAGTGGATGAGCCTGCGGTGGCTTCTGCCTTGATCGGGCCTGGTCGTCCCCACAGGGTGTGAGGTGCCTCCCAAGGGTGGCAGACAGGTGGCAGACGGGCACGGACACCCTTGGCCAAAAGGCAAAGAAGAATTTTCTAGTGTGTTTCCCCGTTGAGAGCAATGCCCCTTCTTAACGAGGGGGACCAGCTCCTTGAGCTGTTTCCAGGTCGCACCGGGGACCCATGTCAAGCTACCCGCCCCCCGGCATGGCCAGGAGGGGGAAGACAGGCATCGTCTTCATGGGCCATGGCAGGGGGAGCGGCCCTGCTCACCTGACCTCCCACACAGGTGCGGGAGGGGCTGGTGCTGTCACTGGGTGCGCCCCACGGGGCTGGCGGGAAGTGCCCCTCAGAGGAGCCCTCGTTCGAGGGGCTTTCTCGGAACAATTCCTGTTTCTGGAACTCTCCCCACTTTACACTATTTCCTCTGAAGCAGGACAGCTTTGGGGCAGTTAAGAGTGGGGGGGAGAGACCTGTGGAGAGACTCTTACCATTTCTACGGGTTCTATGGTTCCTAAAGCTAACAGGAGCTCTGGGGAGGGGGCTCTTCCCTCTTGGGATACGTTCCCTCCGATGTGAGGCCCGGCTCTCCATCAACCAGTCAGCCAAGCCTGTCACCAAACATCTAATCCTTCCACCGAAAGGAAAACCAGTGACATTTGTCCCTGTACATGCTGTGAATGGACGTAGCGGGATGGGAGTGAGGACAAGCTGGGCAAGTGAATGCATCCAAATTAATCGTGTGTTGCTTTTATTTCTAGTTCATCTGAGACCCAACCTTATCCATGACCTCCAGGCTCACTGGCGTCCTTGGGAAGAGCCGGCACGCCGCCATGTCCAGATTCCCCGGGGTTTCTGGGACATCTTGGACGCACAGGCGGGATGGGTCTCCCATGTGCCCAGTCGCTCGGGAAACGCCGCCAAGTGGGCTGTGTCCGCCCCCCCCAACACACACAGAGGGAGGGCAGAGTCTACTCCGCGCCCACACTTTCCCCTCAGCGGGGACGGAGCTCTCACACAGACACGGACACATCCAGGGGAGCGAGAACAGCCATGATAGACCAGGACACTGAGCTGTCCGCAGAGAGAAAAGAATACAGTCTTTGTGCAAAAGCACAGAGTGAGAAACCGACCTCCGTGTGCCGAGGGGACGGGCGCTCGGCGCTCACCCTCACCACCCTCACCTGCTGGCTGTCCTGTCAGGAGCCCACGAGAACACCGGTGATAAATGCACTTCGTAGGGGAGGGAGGGGGGACCCCAAAGAAGACAACGTGAAAAATTCACGTGCAGTTAGTACAACACCCTTGGTCTGTTACAAAGTTTAATGAGTGCATAAAAAGGAAGAAATATATATGAAGCAAAAGTTCATCACAAAATCCAACAGGCATACATAACACTCACCAGAAGGCGATCACCATTAGACACATCAACATAATGCGCAGACGTGTGGCTCACACAGAAGACGTGGCAGGACCGCCCCAGAGCACGGCCACCTGCCCTAACGCAGATCTCGCCCACCGAAGCCACGGGACACTGGACACTGAGGATCCGTGGACAACGGGGTCCACAGTAAACGGCCCGCAGCCGAGCTGGGGAAGCCGCTGATCCAGAATTGATCAGAGTAATAACATTTCATAAAGATATTCCTGGGGGAAATCTCAAGAAGTATTTGTTTGAAATACACCTGCCACATTGTCTGTTCTCTAGAAAGAGCTGTGGCCAAATATCTGGACAAACTGAAGCACCGGACGGACGGCCAGATCACGGCCACGCAGCCTCGCACGGACATTCAACTTGGTTTCGTGTGCGGGCCTTCACTCCTGGGAGCAGAAACTTTCTGCTGAGAGGGAGCATGCAGGTCCCCAGGCCCCGGGACTCGAGGATCAGGTGCCACACGGCGGGGGGGGGGGCTCCACACGCTTCCTACCATGTCCCTCCTCCGCCTCTGAACGCTACACTCCCCACAGGATTACGAATATAGCTACAGAATTGGGATATTATGTTAACGATGAAGCATTAAGTGATGGTAGAACTAAATGTTAAATGAAGTTAAAGTGGGGAAAAAACCGGGAAACAGAACGTGGTGATTAATTTACAAGAATGATCATACCCCATAGCGGTAAACGACAAATGATTTTCATCCCGTACAATCAAAATTAGAGGCACAGAAATAACAAGACGGGATGCTGAGCAGAGCAGGTTACTCATGGAGCTCGGCTGTGAAGTCAGGACAGAAAGGTACAATCATCAGTGTGGGGCTAACTTAAAAAACTTTAAAATACCCTGGTCTGGAGAAATCTGAGAGGGGCATGTTCTTACTCGGGGAAGGCCCTGGGGGCACATCACTGTGTCCAGCTTAGTTACTTCCTAAAACCTCCCCCCTTGCAGATGAAAACGAACAAGGGCAGTTTCCAAAGTGATCCCTTGGCTCAAGGCTTTGGCTGCCGCACCCGCGGAGGGGGTGCGGTCCGACAAGGGGAGCAGCAGGTGGGGGGTGGCCGCTCTGAAGAGCGCCTTCCACAAAGACCACATGCATTTTCTCCTTTGTTTTCCTAAAGGCCTGCCCATTGCCAGAGGCCCCACACTCCAGGGAGCTGGGAAAGCTGTTCTTTGGGAGGCAACAACACAACCCTTCTTTCCTCCTGCAACAAAAGAGCATGTTCTCAGTGAATATGCTCTTCCTTTAGGGCTCAGCAAAAGAACATGCCTCCTCCAGGAATTTATAATGCACTTTCCTTGAATGTCAACAGCCGGCCACACAAGGGAGGGTGTTGTCAGTGCATTCTGAGGATGGGGGGGCAGCGCCAACCCAGGGCCTGGAGCGCCACGCGGCCTCGGGGGGAGTGGGAGGCTGTGGAGGGGTCCCCGGACCAACACCCCCCTTCCCAGGGGCCGTGCCTTCAGCCTTGCACGATTCCACCAGGAAAAACCACTGCAGACAGACAAGCAGAATAACTGCTTCCCCCCAACTTTACACCCCAGGTGGGGCAGCCGACCCTCAGGCCTGGGGGTGCTCTTTAGGATCCCGTGTACCTGAGACAATTGTCTCGGGAATGACAAATGGTGGAAACACGAAATGGGCTTTTAGGGACTAGAATCAGGCCTTTTGCTTCTCTTCTCTCAAACCTCAATCCAAAGACCTTTCTATAAGATGAGGGCTCTGCTGATTTACGACACGCAGAGGAAAGCAAGAACAGAAACAAAGCCACAGAATCACCCGTCGTGTCCGCAACAGCAAACACCCCAGAATCCTGAGGCCCTCGTGGGCGTGTGCCTGGGCGGAGAGGTTTTAAGCTCACATCTCCAGTGTTTAAGAGCAAACAAAGAGTCCACAGTAAAACAGGGGTGCTGAACAGATACTGGTTTCAGCAGACGCTGCACAGGAAGGCGTCCCAGGCCTGCGTTTGTGGGAAGCCGCTACGTGCCGACGAGTGCAAACTCTAACGGATTTCTCCGGCATCAAAAGGCAAGGCTGTTCATTTTTAAATCTTCTTTATTCAACATTCAGTAGTGAACAGAATTGATACTTCAAAAATTCTGAAACAATTGTTTAAACATGGTTTTCATTTTTAAAAATCCTGTGAAAGTATTCTGATTTCTCTGGATCCTTGATGATTGGGCAACACTATTTTGCAAAGTTGATGCCTACTTCTGAGATGAATCTTTTCTTTGAAAGTATTAAAGAGTCTAAGAGCCTTAAAGCAACAATGGTTGTGATTCTACATAGAGGAGAACAAACACGATGCACGTACACACATACGTATATATCCATTCTGAAATAAAGTCACAATGATTGATATCAATGCATTCACAATTTTAATTTAGACCATTACCACTGAAATGGAGCTTGTTTTGTAATATATGCTATACAGCGATTTAATCTTTTCTGCACAGTGTAAATATATTTTTTCCTGTACCTTGAGTGAAGCAGACTAGCTTAAGCTTTCAAACTGGCAATGCTGCCTGCCTACTGGGGGCTTAGAATAACGGCAAGACCCAACTTGGCAGCCAGAGTCTGGTGTGGTTTCATAGCTGGGCCCAAAAAGCACCTCGGACTGGAATCAGCATTGGAAATAGTTCAGACGACCGCCATTTTAGGGTGACGCAAGACTGCCCCACAGTTAAAGCAACTGTCTGCAAAGACGGACACTGAAAGGAGCAAGCAGAAGGCGGACCCTGTTAGCACTTAAGTCACGGCAAGTGTTAGTCACCAGAAGTCACGACAAGTGTCACGTGACAGATGTTGGCTCCTGGGGGCAGATGCGAGAGACATATTAGCAGCACCTGAGCCTCCCAGCGCCCAAACTGCCTTCCCGCTTACTGTTCAACGATTTCACAATCCTCAGTAATTTAAAAAATTGTAGTCAGAGACTAAAGCAAATTTTAGAAACTCCTTTAAAATTGCAAGTCAGGGCCCCTGCCCCACACTTCACTCAAAAGAATCTTTACATTCCCAAGACTTTCAGGATCAGCAGGATGCACAGCCAGAGGAAAAGCTACATTATGTGTGTTTTGTGAGCACAGCCAATAAACCCGGGCTTTCTTGAAAAGACCTTCTCCTTCCCAAAGGACCCAGCTAAGAGGCATAGGACATGCTATGTGTTTGCTACAGCAAAGCCACTTGGGACTCAGCTCTCTGATGGCCGTCACCATGGATGACCCAGTCACCATCCACTCCAGGAGCCGAGGCTGGGAACTGACACAATGGGAGCTTTTTCCCCCTCCTGATACAATTTGTATCTACAGAACATTTACATAGTGAAACTTCACAGAGTCTCTATTCGAATTAATGGAATAACAAAATAATACAGTTCTGATTCATAGGCACACGCAAGGATCCCTGCACCCTTTCCCTCTAAATAACTCAGATAAAAGACACAATTTGCTCAGGGCGAATTTAAATTTCGAGTTTGTTCAAAAGTCCTCAATCGCACGATTATTGCAAGACCACGTGAAGCTAGCAGCACAGACTCCAAGGAAAATGACCACAACCCAATGTCGACCCCAAAAGCGTGGACACAGAAGCAGAATCAGCCACAAAACCCCGAGCACGAGACCCCGGACAATGCCCACGATGCCCACGTCACGCCCCCCAGGGATGCAGAATTCGGAATGTTCTTGCATTCCTGAGCCACATCCTGATCGCATCCCCTGCGGGGAGGGGAAGGAGGCTGAGCCGTGTGGAAATGCAGCAAAAGCAGCAACGCAGCCCCCCTGCCGCCCCCGCCCGCGGCCACGGCTCGGCCAACCAGGACAGCAGAGGGGCTGCGCCAGGATCTCTGCTGGGGCTTAGCTCACCTGCTGACTTTCCTTCCTTTTCCTTGTCAACTAAAGTGGACACACGTTCTGTGTGCCCCTAGTTACTCCTCAGAGCTCACCTTGCCTGAGCCCCGCTTGGGCACACCCCTGTCACCGCCAAAGAAGCGCCCGAGGGAGTCAAGGATGCCCGTGTCTCTGTGCCTCGGGAGGAAGCCATGCCTGGCGTGATCCATGGCGCTTGCTGAGGCCAGGTACTTGGATCCGTGCCTCTGGGAGGGTCTTTTCTGTGACGCCATCACATCCAGGCCCTCAGGACTGACTGCACTGTCCTCTTGGATGGTCTGGAGCTCGTCTGACTCCGAGGGCCTGTCTTTGAAGGTGTTGTCCTCTCTCCCCGGGGCATCTCGGGAGAAGAGGCGGATCAAGTGGGGGCGGCCCCCGGGGTCAGCTGGGTTGGCGTCCTGCCAGGCATTCTTTGGGTCCGCTGTGCGCTTGGAGTCTGTCACCGCTGTGTCCTGAGAGGGGGTCCCATTGTTCTCCTCCACATCTGCCTCCCCTGCAAACAACAGTGAGACATGAACACGGGCCGTGCAAAGCAGAGCGAGGGACAATGCCGCTTTCTTCCAGGGCGAGGGACCTGCTTGTCTCCTACCAAAGCCGCCGAATGTGCGCGGGGCCGGCAAGCTACATGGCAGCCCCAGACGGCTTCTGGCAGGACCCGATCTGCCCTGAGTGCCCTACTCGCAGGTCTTGTCTCAGGGGCCCCTACTCGAGGTCTGGCCCCCTAGGCCAAGCGCACCCCGGCTTCCCGCTGAAGCGGCCGGCCCGGCCGCGGCAGTCCCCCCTGGGTGCTGCCATGGTTGTGCGTGGACAGGCCGGGACTGTGGGACATTCAATCTCTAAAACTTCACTGGTGCATAAGCTAAACGTGCTGGGAGCAATGATTTGACCAAAGGTATTTTTAGTGTTCTTGATGAAAGTGGAACTTCCCACGTCTTTTTGTAATGCATGCCCTAAAGAAACGGGGCATTTAGAATTCTTTAGTTTCCAGATTCCACAAGAGGCCTCTTGCGCTAGAGAACTGCTTATTCAGGACATTTTCATGTGGCTTCTCTTCTATAAGCAGCCACAGTGATAAAGTTTGAAGTGGGAATGTTCTATGTGCTCTACCACCATCCCATAGCTCTTACATACATACAAAAAATACAGCATTCCCTTCCAGAACGGCAATACACCCATTTTGCTCTCAAGTTGCAAGTTAGGTTTAAGTGCATGTCCACTCCACTTGACCCTTAGTTACTTATTTAGAGAAAATGTGGATTTACTCACACTTACCTGTAATACCATCCATCCATCCATCCATCCACCCAACTACCCACCAATCTGTTCACTGACATTTACCCAACAGCAGCACCCACCTATCCATTTCCATTAATCTGCTTAGCCACCTACCTACCTAACCACCCACAGATCTGTCTACCCAGCTACCCCTCCACCCAGTCACCCATGCATGCCTCCACCCACCCACCCATCCATCCACCCACCTACCCAACCACCCACCCAGCCAGCCACCCAACCACCCAGCCACTCGGCCACCCAACCACTCAGCCACCCAACCACCCAGCCACCACCCCAAAATGCCATCCACCCACCCAGCCAGCTACCTACCCAACCAGCCACCCAAACACCCAGCCACTCAGCCACCCAGCGACCCAACCATCCAACCATCCATCCTACTTACCCACCCACCCAGCCAGCCTCCCAACCACCCAGCCACCCAAACACCCAGCCACTCAGCCACCCAGCGACCCAACCGTCCACCCACCCAACCATCCATCCTACTTACCCACCCACCCGGCCAGCCTCCCAACCACCCAGCCACCCAGCCACTCAGCCACCCAGCCACCCACCCAAACATCCATCCGCCCAACCATCCATCCACCCACCCACCTGGCCACTCATCCATTATTGACTGAGCACCTAATAAGTGTAATGTACTGAGCTAGATGTTTGTGCTGCAGTAATGAACAAGATGTGGTCCTTGTCTCATGAACACTGATGGAAATGAATGTTATGAAATGAAGTGTCCCCCAAAATGGCAGGTCCCCATCCTAAACCCCAGTCCCTGTGAATGTGAACTTATTTGGAAATAGGGTGTTTTGTAGATACTCTGAGAAATGAACTGAGAGTTCTAGAGGGGAGGGGGGTGGGGGGATGAGTTAGCCTGGTGATGGGTATTAAAGAGGACACATACTGCATGGAGCACTGGGTGTTATACACAAACAATGAATCATGGAACACTGCATCCAAAACTAATGATGTAATGTATGGTGATTAACATAACATAATAATAAAAAAAATAAACAAGGTAAGATGAGATTGTGCTGTAAGAGGGTGGGCCTAACCAAGTGACTGGTGTCCTTATAAAAAGAGGGGGCTTTGGACAGAGACAGAAACACACAGGGCAGAGGCCGCGTGATGGCGGCAGGGACTGGAGAGACCGGGGGACGCCAGAAGGTTAAGAGACACGGATCGTCCCTGAGAGCCGACTGACACCCCGGTTCCAGATTCCCAGCCTCCAGGATGTGAGAGAGGAACTTCCTGTTGTTGTAAATCACGCGGTTTGTGGTTATTTGTTGCTGCAGCCACAGGACAAAAACACGATGTGTAATTTCCTCTCAGCCTATGCTAGTTAAGACAGCAGAGCAGGGTAGGGTGAGGGCTTCAGGGAGGCCCCTTGAGGGATGGAGTGAGGGGTCCGGGGCACACTCGGGCGGGGTGGGGGTGCCTCTGCAGAGGGGCGGGCGCCCAGCAGAAAGGCCTGGAGCCGGAGGGACCGGTGAGAAGAGCAGCTGAGCGGGAGGCCCAGGCGCCTGGTCAAGATGCACAGGCCTCCGGGGCCAGGAAAGGCTCGCAAGGGGCCAGAGACCGCCGCGGGACGTGCACAGGACCAGACGTCCAGGCAGAAGGTGGCTGGGCCTGCGGGTGGGCACAGGTGGGCGGGACTGCTGGCCACGGGAGAGATGAAGGGGAGGCCACGGAGGGCCCCTGCGGGGGCCGGGCGGGGCACAGCGGAGGCAGCGGCCCCTTCCTTCCATTACACGTATTCTCGGAAGTGTGTGCATCCAGAACACACACTTTCACTAACACAACAGTCAGAAAAGGCAGATGATTCCGCGCTCTTTCAACAAAATCACATTGGTCAGGAGATGGTCCCATGAATGACACTCTGACAGGCAGACACTCTCTTCACCTGCATCTCCAAAGAAGGGTACGTCACCCCAACATATGTCCTCAGTGTTTGCCACAGACAAAGCTCAAGGCGGACACCTGGTACCCGGGATCACCGTGACCTCATTCCAGCCCCTACGAGACAGCACGCCGTTCTGAGGTGCCTTAGAAATACGTCACTTAGAGCATGGCCCATCTTCCCCAACCACGGATGAAATTCAAACCCATAAGAACACAGTTATTTATGCTGCATCTTCTTAAGGCCTCACTGCCTTGTAGTGACAGGAAAATACCACGGCCGGCATCAAGCTGTAGATTTTTGCAGGGACGCACTGATAATTTATAGGTTGCCACAGAAATGGCGTCTGAATTTCTAGCTGTGCTTTATAATCTGTGGCTGATATAAATTAATGCAAATGTGGAAGAGAAACAAAAGCTATATTGTACATGATTAAACGCATTAACAAAACACAAGCGCATCTGAATACTAATATTTGTACCACAGTTGGGCTTTGTGTCCCTGAATAGGGCTGTTTGTGAGGCACAGAGAAGGGCATTCGTGTCCTGAACGTAGCTTCTCTGAGCACAAGGGCAAGGGCAGCGGTCGAAATCTGCGGATGTGCAGCATTTTTGGTCGGGACGAATGCAGTTTTAATTTGTCAAATAATATCAGCTTTCATCAAATTAAAGCCCGATGCAGAGTTTTTATTTAGACTGTAACTATGGAGCATAGCATTTAGTGCATAATTTGTGAGGCAAGGGTCGGATTCTGCCAGAACACACACTTATAATGCTCTAGTGTTGTTCAAATTCTACAGGAATTTGCAATAAAACTTAAAAAAAAAAAAAAAAGCCCACCTCAATCCAATCGCTAGAATGACCTCCAGAAAACTTTGGTGGGAAATGTACTGGACTTCTGCAAGTAATGCTGTTAAAATCCCAGGAGGGCTTTCCGGAACATCCCTGAGGAACAGAGACGTCACTCACTCGAGAGGGGCTTCTGCAGCAGGGACACCCACCCTGCGGGCGGCTGACACTGGGGCAGCATGCACACCGCTAAAGAAACTCGCAGAGGCCGGAACCCGAGCGAGGCTCCCGCCGAAGGTCACCATGGTCCTACCGCTGCCTGGGAGTCTGGCTCCTTCCGCCCACGTAGCCCCCGGCAGGCAGCTGTCCCAAATCCTGCAGCTTCCCCCCAGATTATTTCTTACTTGACTGACTACAACCACCTGCTTTCTTGTTCTTTTCTTTTCTTTCTTTTTTGCCACGTTATGCAGGGGTTTCGCTACATGGTCGTCGCTGGTCCACGGGCTTCAGCCTCTCGTGGGACTCCATTCACCCACATTGGCTGGAAGCACCTGCACAAGACCTCACAGGCCATGGCCCTCGTGCAGGCCCCCAGGGGCTCCCCAGCGCCATGGGCACCAAGGACAGGCTCGCACGCCTGTTCTTCCGTTCACGCTTCAACATGTCCCCGCAGGGGTGCCCGACTCATGTCCTCAGGCCTCTGCTGTCCCGCCTCCCTGTGCCATGTCCTGACCGCCCGGAGGCCTGCGCTGGGCACCTGGCCGGGAAAGCAGCTCCACTGGTCAGGGCCTCTCAGCAGCTGAGGGTGGCTGTCCCCCGATCCTGAGAAGTGTGTTGGGTTTGCCAGCTCCTCTCCAGCCCGGCGGTGTGTCCCAGGGGCCCTGCCGAGTTTGGCCTCCATCTCATCCCACGGGGAGCTACGTACGCACTAGGTGCCCAGCAAGACTGTCCGATCAGACACGCTGATGTGTGCAGGGCCATTCCTCCAAAAGGACAGAACAGAAGCCAAATACCACCCCCTTCTTTGCTAGAAGACTTAGCTGTTGCCATTGCAGCTGTTAAATTGCTTTCTGTATTATTTTTAAGTGAAGCTTTCCCTTCGGTCCTGAAAGGGTTCTACACTAGAGTCTAAGGAGCTCTGGCTTAGAAATGAATTTTAGTTGTATAATCTAATTCTTTCTGGCCATGCAGAGGTTTTGTAATATTCTAAATTTAATCAGTCGGCTTGGCTCTGAGGTAGCAGAATAAAGAATTTAGTCTCCCTGCTCTATTCTCTCATAAACTCCAAATCCGAGTTCCTGCAGTTAAGCCTGGGTGCCCGTAATGACCATGACTCGTTGAGGGGGACTGACCTGACAAGCCATTTCGTCCACTTTGCTCTGTGGTCCGCTGGAGAGCACCTGACCACGTGGGGGGTGCCCGACTGCATGGGGGGGGCGCCTGACCGCGTGGAGAGCACCTGTGTGGGGGGCACCTGACTGCATGGGGGGCACCTGACTGCGTGGAGGGCACCTGACC